TAAAGAAAGCTGCTGCTGCTGCTGCTAAGTCACTTCAGTCGTGTACAACTCTTAGCGACCCCATGGACTGCAGCCCACCAGGCTCCTCCGTCCATGGGATTTTCCAGGCAAGAGTACTGGAGTGGGTTGCCATTGCCTTCTCCGAAAGAAAGCTGAGCACCAAAAAAATTGATGCTTTTGAACTGTGGTATTGGAGAAGACTCTTGAGAGTCCCTTGGACTGCAAGGAGATCCAACCAGTTCATCCTAAAGGACATTAGTCCTGAGTGTTCATTGGAAGGACTGATGTTGAAGCTAAAACTCCAATACTTTGGCCACCTGATGCGAAGAGCTGACTCACTGGAAAAGACCCTAATGCTGGGAAAGATTGAAGGCGGGAGAAGAAGAGGATGAGATGGTTGGATGGCATCACCGACTCAATGGACATGAGTTTAGGTAAACTCTAGGAGTTGGTGATGGACCAGGAGGCCTGGCATGCTATAGTCCATGGAGTCGCAAGGAGTCAGACCCAACTGAGCAACTGAACTGACGCCAATACAAAATAAAAAGATTTTTACAAAAGGACTTCAACAGCTAATTAAGAAGACAAATGCACAGAAATAGTATTTATGGTCAAAGAGTTGAGTTTTTTGTTTTCCTAATCAAATGATTTTATCCTAATCTTTAAAAACACTGACTTCATTGTTTTTATGTAAGAAAACTAAGGCCCTTCCTCAGTATGTCTGCTGGCTCCCTAGGTGGGAGGGAAGGGAGTGCATAACTGATATTAGAGAAACGGAGGCCTAAAAGGACAGCTGAGCTCTTTTCCCCTGTGGTGGCAAGCGTGCGAGGTGTTTTGCCTCTGAGCCAAGAAAAGTTTGAGGCCATGCCAGTGGCTCACAGGATCTTGGAAACTGTCAAAGGGCCTCCTGATCAGCAACTTGGGGACAATCTGGTGAAGTTTATTCGTATAGAGATTCTAGAATGGATAATTCTGTTTTAAAAACTGAGATTTAATTGACATAATGGGCATAATTGATCCAGTTATCCCTAGACACTGAAGCAGAACTCAGAACACCAAGAACTCAGCTGCTCACCAGGAAATGCCCTTAGGCAATCAGGCCTGTTCATCACCATTTGGACTTAGCAGACATTCTGTTTAACTAAATGTTCCTGGTTACTTTTCACTGTAAGACCTCAACAAAAATTGGGAAATACTGGCTTAGAACTGACACTCTCCAGAGAAGAGACAATACCATTTCCAGGAAGCACTGATTATTGAGACCACAATGGTCAGATCAGGGAGGGTTAAACTAGAAATTCTCTAGATACTGATTTTTCTCTGGAGAAACCTTCTACCTCCAGATATGCAGATAACACCACCCTGTGGCAGAAAGTGAAGAGGAACTAAAGAGCCTCTTGATGAACATGAAAGAGGAGAGTGAAAAAGCTGGCTTAAAACTCAGCATTCAAAAAACTAAGATCATGGCATCCAGTCCCATTACTTCATGGCAAAGAGATGGAGAAACAATGGAAACACTTTATTTTCTTGGGCTCTAAAATCACTGCAGATGGTGACTGCAGCCATGAAATTAAAAGACACTTGCTCCTTGGAAGAAAGGCTATAACAAACCTAGACAGTGTATTAAAAATCTGAGCCATTACTTTGATGGCAAAGGTCCGCCTAGTCAAAGCTATGGTTTTTCCAATAGTCACATATGGATGTGAGAGTTGGACCATAAAGAAGGCTGAGTGCCAAAGAATTGATGCTTTTGAACTGTGGTGTTGGAGAAGACTCTTGAGAGTCCCTTGGACAGCAGGGAGATCAAACAAGTCAATCCTAAAGAAAATCAACCCTGAATATTCATTAGAAGGATTGATGCTGAAGCTGAAGCTCCAATACCTTGGCCACCTGATGTGAAGAGCTGACTCATTGGAAAAGACCCTGATGCTGAGAAAGGCTGAAGGCAGGACAAGAAGGGGACGACAGAGGACAAGATGGTTGGATGCCATCACCAACGGAATGGATATGAGCAAGCTCTGGGAGATGGTGAAGGACAGGGAGGCCTGGCGTGCTGCAGTCCACGGGGTTGTAAAGAATCAGACACAACTGAGCGACTGAACAACAACAGCAACTGCCTGGCATGGTGCCTGACCTAGTAGGGGCTCTTGGGAGTGAATGGATGATCAATTCCCCTACTGCAACTGCCTTTCTCAGAAGATTTTGACACCCTGGCTGAGAGCGAAATGCTACCAGAAAGCCTTGGGTACTGATGAGCACAAAGCTAAGCTGTCCCCATAGTACCAGCAAACCCACTGCTGGGCTTCTTTCTATTTGCCTTTTTAAGTTTTCATTTTGGAAAATTTCAAAGACGAACAAAACTACAGAGAAGAATTTAATGTACCTACAGGTTTCTGCCACTCAGCTTCAACAATCATCAAAGCACAGCCAATCCTATTTCATCCTCTGCCTTTCCACCCCGACTGCCCTGGATTTTGCTGCAGTAAATCCCAAACACCACATCTTTATACTTATATTTCATTTATGTCTAAAAACAAAGACTTAAAAACATTCACACAATATCATTATCACACTTAAACAGCAGTTAACTATGACTCCTTAATATCCTCAACTATCCAGTCAGAATTCATTTTTTATTGACTGTCTCACAGAAATTTTTTTCAGAACATTTTGTTTTTCAAACAGGGATCTAAATAAGATCCAAATACTGTTTTTGGCTAATATATCTTTTAAGTCCCTGAGATAGTTAAGACTGTCTCACAAAAATTTTTTTCAGAACATTTCTTTTTTCAAACAGAGATCTGAATAAGGTCCAAATACTGATTTTGGCTAATATAACGTTTAAGTCTCAACATCGTATCACCTTTTTCATTTGTTTAAGAAACTGAATTGTTTCCCTGTGAAGTTTCCCAGAATCTGGATTTTTGTGAGTGGCTTTGTCTCAGTGGTGCTATTTAATGTGCTCCACTGAACCCTCTGTTTCCTGTAAGTTGGTGGCTGGCACTAGAGGCTTGGACAGATCCAGGTTCAACTTTTAAGGGCAGCATCAGGAGGTATGTAATGTCTGGCTGCCTCTCTCAATGATTTTAGCACCATTAACACTTATTTTCCAGATGCATTCATGTACTGGGATGGCAAATTGGTGCTATGCTAATTCTATCACTGGGTCCAGGATGCTTCTCTAAAGAAAAACTTCCTCATTAATCATTTGGTTAACATGACATCTAATTTGTATAGGAAAGGCAGGATAAGTGGTTGCCTTTTCCCCTTCATTTACCAATTATCAGAATAATGGGTTGCTTCCTTCTCAGCCTCCACAGTCAACAGTAAAACTTTTAGTATCACTCTTTACTCATAAATTTAAACATACTTGATGTGTGTCATCCATTCCAGCTCTCATCCTTGCTGGTGCTCAAAGTTTCCTGTCATTAGCAAGTGGGAGCCTATTCAAGTGGACTCCTGAGACAGTTAAATATGACCTTCATAATCAACAACCTCCTATCTTTCTGGTACAGGAAGATGTTCCAGATTCATCTTGTGGATATTTTGCCCTAGACCTGAAATCAGTCACTTCTCCAAGGTGCCCTGGTTCCTTTTGGTAAGAATGTAATTTATAGATTATAATGTGGATGATTATAGGTACTTAATGCTACTGGCCTAGTCACTATTGCTAAGTCTTTGGGAAGACTTTTGGGAGCTTCTACCTTCCTGCTTTCTAATTGCTTTCCTTCTACATAGGAAACAAAATTTAATCTGTCTTTATACCTTCTTAAATAATTTAGGCTATAGATTATTTCAGTTTCTACCCTACAGAATTCAGAATGAAAACTAAATTGGCACAGTAACACTGTGCCATACTTGCATATATGTCAACACTCCATAGGTGACACATGTATATACTGTGTTCTAAGTAGCCAAACTTTTCTTCTCAAAAGTTCAAACTTTAAGGATATAATCTAGAAAACACTGGTTAAATAAAGTATTTCCCCATATATGTAAGAGGATCACCAAAGAAAATACAGTAATCTTTTTTTCTTCTTTAACAGTCCTCTCACTGGGCAATTTGGCAACATCTAAAAAATTTAAAATACACAAATTTTTAACCCAGAAATTCTAACTCTGGGAATTTATCCTTCAGATATATTCAAATATGAGTAAGAAAAGATGTCCACCAACCACTATATGACTGTGAAAATCTGCAGACGATCCAAAGATAAATCAATAGGGTAACTGGTTAAATACATTACAGTATATACATACAATGGAACATACTATAGAAAGCAAAATGAATGATGTCTATACATATTCACATGGAACGGTCTCAATGAAATACTGTGAAGTGGAAAAAAATAAGGAATTTGCCTTACATAGTTGTTAAATACATATATATGGCCATAATATATAAATATATATATATACACACAATCAGTTCAGTTCAGTTGCTCAGTCATGTCCGACTCTTTGCAACCCCGTGAACTGCAGCACGCCACGCCTCCCTGTCCATCACCAACTCCTGGAACTCACCAAACTCATGCCCATTGAATCAGTGATGCCATCCATGGTATTTCATAAAAATTCTTTGGCATAAAAATTTTTATATCAAGGTACTAAAAAATAACATGTAAAATGATCACATTTTTATAAAACTTGCAGAGAGAGACAGAAAGGAGAGACAACAGATAGACAGAAAAATTGGGGCCCAAAAACCCTTAACAGTAGCTTCATCTTTAAGGAATGATGCTGAAAAGAATGGAAGATGATTTTATATTCTTCTATATGATTGAGTTCTTATTATGTGTTTTTACTTTTAAAAAGTTTTGTACCTTATTTTAATAATTAAAAAAAATTCTAAATGTTTCTTAAAAATATATGATATACACTTGCTGACAAATGACTGAATTAACTGAACTTTGTAGTTTGGTCATGAGAGGGTTTTCAGGGAGAAAAGCCCCTTGGCTGTGACTCACAGCCCGAGGCCGGCTCTCCTAGGCTCCCATTACCTGTGAGTGAGCGCTTGTAGACTCCCTGCAGGATTGCAGCGATGCGGAAGAAGGAGAAAGCCACGTAGAAGTGCCAGTTCTCAGCAGGAGGGATCCCCATGTGAAGACAGTACATCCTGAAATAGTCCTCTGCAGTAGGGATTCCCAGCTCAGTCAAATCACAGCCACTCAACCCTGAAGCGACAGAGCCAGGACTAGGCAATGACCTCATGCTCCCCTGTGGCTCCCAATACTTGAATTCTGAAAATCATCTTGTCCCTTGGAAATAAGTTTCACAACTAGTTCAAAGGGTTATAGGTCATCATTTTAAGATGTCTGGAATCCAAGCATGAAGCTGTTATTCATAACCTGGTTCTTAAAAGTTTCAGACTAAACTAGCAGTAAAGGAAGCAATGAGGGGCCTCCAATTTCCATCTGGACCACAGGTCAGGGTGGATGCATATTATTTTCTATCAGTCATTTGATAAAAAATGGTATACAAAGAAATCTCACTAAATTCTGAAAAAGATAACTGCAACAGATAAAAAATCTTACTGATTTTCTTCATTTGTAACATTTTGATGGTTCAGAAGCATATAATATATTCTGTTCCAAGAACTTATCCTAGGAGTATACCTTATATACAAGCAAAGATATTACTATGTAGATATTCATTGCCCTTTTTGTGGAAGCACAGGGAAGTTAGTAAGAAAAAAAAAAAACTGGAAACAAATACCCAAATAGAAATGAAACCAAATGCCTTGAATGAGTTAACAATGAAATCCTATGCTGTCATTAAAAATGATACTGTAGGAGAAATACTAAATTCCTGAATTTCATGAAGCAGCCCAATCACCAACTACTTCAGCTGAGTCTGCCCAAATCTTTGAGAATGGAGGCGGCTCCATCCCCACTCCCCCAGCAGCAGTTCCTACCTGGCTGAATGGGAAAACCAGATGGCAGGTAGTGAGCCAGGCAGTTGTAGGCCACATCGGCAAGGGGGTCGCCTAAGGTAGAAAGCTCCCAGTCCAGGACAGCAACCACCTCGGCAGTTTCCGGATGGAACAGCAGGTTGTCCAGTCTGAAGGAGCCACAAGGAATGGAGAAAGCACTAAGAGAACTGACCACTGGGGAGTGTTCCATGCTGAGTGTTTATTTTGTTGGCCCCTCCAAACACACTTCCCACCCCTCTGTGCCCCATGTGCCCAGAAGCCTGCCAGGGCCGCATCCACCAGCTCCCTTGCCCTCTGGCTCAGCCAATGGGGATAGCAACAGGCAATAGGAAGGGGGCCTGCATATTAACTCCCCAGCCCCTTCTCAGCACAAGGCCAAGGGACAGCTGTGCTCCTCTCCCAAGGGCCACAGCTTTGGTGAGGCAGCCCTCGCCACATAGAGACGGTATCCAGGTTCTGGTAATTCTCCTTCCCTGAGATGGTTTTAAAACAGGTCTGCAATTTTTTGACACTCCTGCCATAAAAGGAAGAGTCTCACTTCTAACAATTATGATGCAGATGGAAGTGGTGCCAAGTGACTCCAAAGACAAGGAAAGAAAAGGTGATCAGCTCCCACCTGGCTCTCTCCCCTCAGAATACACACCTTTGCAGCCCTGAGCTACCAGGTAAGAAGTCAAACTACCCAGAAGATGCTATACTGGAGAGTACGTGTGTGTGCAGTTGCTCAGTCGTGTCTGACTCTTTACGACTCCATGGACTGTAGCCCACCAGGCTCCTCTGTCCATAAAATATCTCAGGCAAGAGTACTTAATGGGTTACCATTTCCTCCTCTAGGACATCTTCCCAACTCAGGGATTGAACCCACATCTCCTGCATTTCCTGCACTGGCGGGGAGATTCTTTACCACTGAGTCACCTGGGAAGCCCCATACTGAAGAGACTAGTTGAGAAACCATAGATATACAGAGAGAGATTCAGGGAGCCCAGCTCTCCTCTGCCCCCGTGCAGATGTGTGAGTGAGCCATCAGGCGATTTCAGCCCCTGGCCTTAAGGTCACTCCGACAAGCCATCTTGTCCCCAGACTGTAGACTCACGAGTAAAATCACTGCTGTGGCTGTTGATGGCAAGGCAGTTTTGGAGGTGTATGTCCTGCAGTAGTTACAACTGGAGCCTGTGCTTGCGCCTTAGGACCTGGGGGTGGTACTAACTCTTGCTGTGGCAAAGGCCCCAAATGTCAATAGTGTCAAAGCTGACAAACCCTTCCTTAAAGGCCACGCACAGGGAGATAATTGTGCATGGATAGTTGTCAGCAGTAAACTTGGGGAAGACCAGCTGCTTCTTTCCCCTTCAAATGCCCTTCCCATCACTTTCCACATCTAAATATCAACCCTCCTCATGCCAAGTAGACCTGAAGTCCCCGTGCACCACTGTGGTCCGCTGCTGCCTGGGAAGGTGGAGGGGCAGCCACTCGATGAGCCTCTCCATTGCTGGAATGGTGCTGGTTTCTGAAGCTCGATACTGCTTGATCCATATTTGCACCTGACGTGCAATATAGTCCCCTGAGGGAAAGAAGATTAGAATATGGTGTGCCATTTCAACAAACTCCAAAGGTTTCAGAAATCAACCTCTGCGTGAAACCCTTTGTAATGTCTGAGGCATCTTCATCCCATGACTGGAGAATTTTCCACTTGATGCTCCTGCTCCCTCAACTTGGAAGCCACTGCTATTTTGTTTTGGCTGGATCTGTGTGATTTGGGCATTGTTCCCAGCCACACAGCCCTCTGGGCCTGATCTCTGGCCCTCTCAGAGATGCTATAAGCTTCCTAACAGCCTTTAATAAATCCTTTCTTAGCTAGAGGACAGTGCTTGGCTAAGAGCATGGGCGCTGGGATAGATGGTCTGAGTTTGGTTCCCAGCCCTGCCATTCTCTGTGTGGTCTCAGGTAGGTTACTTTATGTCTCCATGCCCTTGTTCCTCATCAGTGAGGTGGCCTTCATTAGAGTTGTTGGGAGGATAAAATATGTAAGGGCCCTGCAACTGTTCTTGGCATGTAGTAAGTAATACATGAGCATTTGCTATTATTCAGTTGTTTATTAAGAAACCCAGAGTTACCACAGTTGAGGAACTTGCAAGTTATGGGACCATAGACTAGAAGCAAGTTCTGGAGTTACCTGGCTCACAGTTAAGCTTTTCAAATGATTTAACCTTTCTAAACCTCCATTGCTTCATCCGTACAATCAGTGTACGGATACCTATATTCCCTAGGACCGTTGTGAAGGACAAATGAAATCCATATGTAACATGCCAAACACAGAAGGCTGCTCAATGAATAATGGCCATTATTACTGTCACCGTCATTGCTGTCAAATGACAATTATTGTCGCTATTAATAATAAACAACATACCAGGTCCATGCTCTAAGTCAAGCCCTCACCCCTCATCTGAGAAAAAAATGTTTCCCAGGAGCTTGAGGACAACAATAGAGAGACTGGGCTCCTTCCATGGAGTCAACTGCACATTCGGAGCATCCATTCAGCTGTCATTAGAATGAACCAGCAGAACTGTAAGAGGGGTGATCAAAACCCAAGAAATTCAACCCAAAACAAATCAAGCCTTGAGAACTAACTTTCAGTTTTCAGAATTATAGCAAGACCAGCAGTAAATGAAACCATAATCAAAATAAATCTATTATACACTTACCTGGTAGCTTTAAAAACTCATTTTAAAAAATTGGTGAGGGGGTTTTTCTAGACTCCAATCAGATCCTGATTTGGAAAACAAAACCCCAAAAAACTTGCTTATAAAAGGTACAAGAGGAATAATGAGGAAATCGAATATGGACTGGGTCTTAGATATACTGAGAAAATGGTAAATTTTCTTGGATGTGATAATGGTGCTGGGGGATGCTCTTATTATTAGGAAATGCATACTGAAGCACTTAGGAGTCAAGTGTCAGGGTCTCTTAATCATGCAGATAGATAAATACAGAAAGAGATAAATGAATATGGCCAAAGTTAGTCATTCTTAAAATCAGTCACGGGATATAGTTATTCACAGCACTACCGAATGTTTCTGTAAGTTTGAAAATTATCATAAGAAATCAAATACTAAAGCCTCCAGGAGCTGAACTTTTATTGAAGGAGCCCCTCAGGTTAATCTACGTGGATTTAGGATGTCCCCCGTCCCCCATGAATACACCCCAGTGCTGCGCACACTCCCTTCTCATGGGAAGCAAGTACTGCTGTCCCTGTGTTTCTGCTCTGTTGGCCACTGGCCTCAAGCAGGCCCGCCAAGGCACAAACACCCTTCCTCCCCAAAGCAGCCTGCCCTCTGGGATGAAAAAAGGGAATTATGCTCTCTGCAGGTCCTTGGTGGAAAGTTTCTATGTGGTAACTTGATTGGACCTAAAGGGATCTTTGTCAAAAGTTCATTTCCATCAGAAATCATGTTTATGTGCTTTTCCCTTACAAATTTATATTTGTTCTCTTCAGTAAATCATATATTCACCTGGTTCAAAATTTAAGTGACAAAAAGGTGTACAATAAATCCCCAATCCCCTGCCCAGCCACTCAGCCCTTTTTCCCCAAAGGTAAACCATGTGACCAATTTCTTAGGCCTCCTCTTGGGGATATTCTTCACATGTGCAAATAAATTAATTTAAATGTACCAATTTTACACAAATGGTGTATTAGCTATACACAGACTGTGCCCTGCCCAGCAGCAGGATTCCTAACATAACTTAAGAAATTACAGCATGGAAGCAACCTAGATGCCCATCAGCAGACGAATGGATGAGGAAGCTGTGGTACATATACACCATGGAATATTATTCAGCCATTAAAAAGAATTCATTTGAATCAGTTCTAATGAGATGGATGAAACTGGAGCCCATTATACAGAGCGAAGTAAGCCAGAAAGATAAAGACCATTACAGTATACTAACACATATATATGGAATTTAGAAAGATGGTAACGATAACCCTATATGCAAAACAGAAAAAGAGACTCAGATGTATAGAACAGACTTGTGGACTCTGGGAGAAGGCGAGGGTGGGATGTTTCAAGAGAACAGCATTGAAACATGTATATTATCTAGGGTGAAACAGATCACCAGCCCAGGTTGGATGCATGAGACAAGTGCTCGGGCCTGGCACTGGGAAGACCCAGAGGGATCGGATGGAGAGGGAGGTGGGAGGGGGGATCGGGATGGGGAATACATGTAAATCCATGGCTAATTCGTTTCAATGTATGACAAAAACCACTGCAATGTTGTAAAGTAATTAGCCTCCAACTAATAAAAATAAATGAAAAAAAAAAAAAAGAAATTACAGGATACTTGAAAAGAATACCTGATGGCCCTGTAGCTGGACCAGTGAATGTGAAATCTGAGGAAGCTGCTTTATGTAATAACCCTCAAGACATAGCCAGCAGCCCAGGAGCCTGACCCTAAGTTATATAAAATCAGACCAGATTTCTGCTTCGTCTCTTTGTCAACCTAATAGGTCAGTGGAAAGTATATCAGAATGGCCCACTTTAAAACTAAAAGGCAAAGGACCCACTCAGCGCATAGAAGAGCCCTCCTTAAGCTGTCCTCTCTTCACTGTACAATGGGATGTCACACCACCCACGGCTTCATGTGACAGTGGCTTTGTCCATTCACAGCACTGGAACAGGTGCCATCTCCTTTGCTTTTCATATCAGCGCTCTGAGGCGGGCAGGGCAGGGCTTTTTTACTCAACCTCTATTCTTGAGAAAACTATGACAAAGTAATGGGGCTTGCCCAAGGTCAGCCCACAAATCAGCACCTAACTTCTGTTCCAGGGCTCTTTCCATCCTGAAACAACGTATCAATATAGGCAACATATGTTGTCTTTGCCTACTGGCCCTTTTACTAGTAACTAGGGCTCCAGATGAAATATAGGATGCTCAGTTAAGTTGAAATTTTGGATCAGTTCAGTTCAGTCATTCAGTCGTGTCCAGCTCTTTGCGACCCCATGAACCACAGCACGCCAGGCCTCCCTGTCCATCACCAACTCCCGGAGTTTACCCAAACTCATGTCCATTGAGTCGGTGATGCCATACAACCATCTCATCCTCTGTCGTCCCCTTCTCCTACTCTTAATCTTTCCTAGCATCAGGGTCTTTTCAAATGAGTCAGCTCTTTGCATCAGGTGGCCAAAGTATTGGAGTTTCAGCTTCAACATCAGTCCTTCCAATGAACACTCAGGACAGATCTCCTTTAGGATGGACTGGTTGGATCTTCTTGCAGTCCAAGGGACTCTCAAGAATCTTTTCCAACACCACAGTTCAAAATTTTGGATAGACAACAAATAAATTAATATAAATACCTTCCAGTGAGACCACCAAGATGGAGGGGAACCCCGCTAAATTGCTAATTCTGGTCAAAAATTAGCATTTGATACAGATCTGGCTAAAAGTGGAAAGGGTAGAGAACTCCCTCTATTGTGACTGGGAAGTCAGCAAGCCTCCTATGTGGTAGCAAAGTTTCTCAAATGGTTAGTTTTGAGGCCTCACATCATGTGCCTACAGAGTGACAGAGTTTTAGGAAACTTGGTAAAAATATGTCAGGAAGTTGATGTACACTGGATACATACTGCAGCATTTGGTACAGTCCTAAAGGAATAGGCATGCTTTAGTTAAAAGCAGAGAAAGAACAAAATACAGCTTACTGAGATTCTTTTTAACCACGGTCAGGAATGCATTGAGAGCCAGATAATTTTGAATGCTGCAGGGCAAAGTGAAACTCTGTGGCTCATGCTAAAGTATCTGCATGCAAAAGCATGGAGACAGTTGTGATGGTGGTTATAAAGCTGTGTGCATTTGTCAAAATTCATAAAATGCTACCTTTCAATACAACTGACTTCCAAAAAAAAAGGAAAAGGGAAATCCTGACAACACTAAGTACTTACAAGGATGAGTAACAACTGGAGCTCTCAGACAATTTAAAAAATAAAATAAAGAAAAGAGCAGCAACAAATTATATAAACAAATATCTTGGTACAATGGCATTTTAAAAAAATTTACCCCTGTTGAAAAGAATATTTAGAGGAAATGGTAAAAAAAAAATGGAGAAGAAAATACATATCTTAAGTACTTTTGGCCAGTCAGTATCAGAAAAAAAGAAAGATTTAAATAATACAGTGAGAGAAAATCTGCAGGGAAAAGAGATTCTATAGTCCATGGAGGGATTTATCTCAGGAAAAAACATCTAGGTAAACAACACCTGCACTAAAATGAAAGTGGATTTTCAACTAGGAAGCTAACAAGCCCACCTCACATTTACCAATGGTGCCTTAAAATCCTGGCACAATGGAAATCCAGAAAGCAGAGGACCAGTGAGGAAACATCAGCACAGAAGACAAGGGGCCCCGTGCTCACCGTGTTTCCCATAGTCTTCCAGGCCTGCAGCCTTGAGGTCCACACTGTGAATCTTGCACAAGACTCTATTCATGGCAGTGTAGATGGCCCGCCTCTGGCTGGGCTCCAAGCCTGGTAGAGAGGGGTCTTTGTAGATGAGGCCTGGGCAGTATTCCATCAGATAGAAAGGGGTACCAACGATACTGGGAGGGATACAAACAGGGTGTTTCAGTGGCCTGTGCTGTGGCAGGCTGTTAGTTAGGGCACTGCTCTGTCCTGTGTGTAAGCTATAAGTGCTGGGTGGGAGTTCAGACTCAGAGTACTGGAAACTTCCTTTTTCCTCTGCATAGAAGTGGAAGTTAGAAGTACTCTTTCCCCAGACTAAGCCACACATAAACATCCCTGTCTACACTTCCTTGCCAGCATGCCTCTCTTCTCTTTGGAATCTACTCGGAATGGGATTGTCATAATACAGGAAAGCAGCATGTTGGGTCGGGGGTGGAGGGTCAGGTCTGGAGTCACACAGAACCAGGCTTAAGTCCCACCTCTGCCCTTCCTAGAATTGTGATCCTGAGGAACATATTAAACCTCTCTGAGCTTTGTTTTTACTAAATCTATAAAGCTTCAAAGAATAGCTATAAGAATTAAGGGAGCAATATATAGGGAATGCCTGGCATATGTGTCTGGTTTCATGAGGGTTCGATAAATATCCCTTCTTGTTGTTGATGTTATTTTCATCATTATTCAGTGAAATGAATGACATATACAACACCCCAAAGTATTAAGGTGACACACCAAAATGTCATTAATCAATCTTTTTGTCACTACTAGAAATCAGTTTAGTACTCTGAAAAGTTGTTTTGAAAATTCTGTTATAAATATTCATCCTGACTTGAGAATTTAAATTATTTTTAGTTTAAGTGTAATACTGCTGCTGGAGTTATGAAAGAACATGTCTTTATTCTTAGGAGATATATGCTGTCTGCAACTTACTTCAAAAGGTTCAGTGAATAATAATTACATACATATGAAATATACTTATTTATAAAACAATTATATAATTATCAAAACAGTAAATTAGGAAATGTTTATATAATTATTAACAATTTCTATAAAATTATTTTGTCTATATCATACACTTACATACACACACACATATACACACAGAAAGCAAATGTGGCAAAATGTTAACAAATGTTTTCATCTAGATGAAGTGTAAATGGGTGCTCACTGTACTGTTTTTTCCTCTTTCAACTTCTGTGCATGTTTCAAATTTTTCATAATTAAAAAATCAGGAAAAAAGAGACTCAGAAAGTATATTATAATGCAATTCAAAAACAGTTTAAAAAGCCCCCAATAAAAAAATTAATTAAAACAAACAACATGAAGCTAGATGGACATATGCTCTTTAAATGTTAGAAAAGATGTTTCCTACCAATTCTCACAAAAGCAGGCATTTACCTTTCAGGATAACTTAAACCACTCTAGGGGAGGTTGCTATAAAATCTCTTTTCTACTCTAATTTTACTTGTCTTTACTCTAGCAAACTAGAATTTAAGTTAATATATGGACTTTTCTGTAGCTTGAATATACAATGGAAAAAATAAATATGAACATTACCTTGAGTCTTCACAAAGGTCAAGAACTTTGGGGACAGGGACTCCAGCATTTGCAAGGGCTTTCATTATCCTGACAGAACAAAGATGAGAGACAGTGCTGAATGAGGTGATCAGATTTTCTTGAAATTATTTTTTTATTTTAAAATGGTACATGAAAAAATCAAAATGGAAGATACGTTCATGAGGTTACTCCTTTCTGCCCATGGATGCCACCGAGAAAGCATCGTTGAAGACTTCCCCACCTCCACTGCTGTCATGTCTAAATCAGAGTCTCCCAAAGAGCCCGAACAGCTGCGGAAGCTCTTCATCAGAGGATTGAGCTTTGAAACAACTGATGAGAGTCTGAGGAGCCATTTTGAGCAATGGGGAACGCTCACAGACTGTGTGGTAATGAGGGATCCAAACACCAAGCGCTCCAGAGGCTTCGGGTTTGTCACATACGCCACAGTGGAGGAGGTGGAGGCGGCCATGAATGCAAGGCCACAAAAGGTGGACAGAAGAGTTGTGGAACCAAAGAGGGCCGTGTCAAGAGAAGATTCTCAAAGACCTGGGGCCCGCTTAACTGTGAAAAAGATTTTTGTTGGTGGCATTAAAGAAGACACTGAAGAACATCACCTGAGAGATTATTTTGAACAGTATGGAAAGACTGAAGTAACTGAAATCATGACTGACCGAGGCAGTGGCAAAAAGAGAGGCTTTGCTTTTGTAACCTTTGATGCCCATGACTCCGTAGACAAGACTGCCATTCAGAAATACCACACTGTGAATGGCCACAGCTGTGAAGTGAGAAAAGCCCTGTCTAAGCAAGAGATGGCTAGTGCTTCATCCAGCCAGAGAGGTCCGAGTGGTTCTGGAAACTTTGGTGGCGGTCGTGGAGGTGGTTTTGGCGGGAATGACAACTTTGGTCGTGGAGGAAACTGCAGTGGTCGAGGTGGCTTTGGTGGCAGCCGTGGTGGTGGCAGACATGGTGGCAGTGGGGATGGGTATAATGGATTTGGTAATGACGGAAGCAGTTTTGGAGGTGGCGGAAGCTACAATGATTTTGGCAATTACAACAATCAATCTTCAAATTTTGGACCCATGAAAGGAGGAAACTTCGGAGGCAGAGGTTCTGGCCCCTATGGTGGTGGAGGCCAGTACTTTGCCAAACCACGAAACCAAGGTGGCTGTGGTGGCTCCAGCAGTAGCAGTAGCTACGGCAGCGGCAGAGGGTTTTAATCACTGCCAGGAAACAGAGCTGAGCAGGAGAGGAGAGCTGGAGAAGGGACAGGGAAGCCACAGGTTACAACAGACTTGTGAACTCAGCCAAGCACAGTGGTGGCAGGGCCTCGCTGCTACAGAGAAGACATGTTTTAGACAATACTCATGCGTATGGGCAAAAAACTCGAGGACTGTACTTGTGACTAATTGTATAACAGGCTATTTTAGTTTCTGTTCTGTGGAAAGTGTAAAGCATTCCAACAAAGGGTTTTAATGTAGATTTTTTTTTTTTGCACCCATGCTGTTGATTGCTAAATGTGATAGTCTGATCATGATGCTGAATAAATGTCTTTTTTTTAAAAAAAAAAAAGAAAGAAAAAATCAAAATGGAATGCTAAACTTTAAAAATTTCAATTGACCCAAGAAGGCAAAAAGGCAAGGAGAACAAAAGAGAAATGGGACAAAGCTCTAATAGGAAAATCATAGACCTGAGTCAAATATATTGATAATTACATTAAATTTAATAGTGTAAACATTTCAACTAAAAGACAAAAATTGTCCTACTGAATACAAAAGCAAGACTTAATATGCTTTAACTATAAAAACATAGAAAAAATAAATAAAATATGAAAGGATGGAAAGAGAAGTTCCATGAAATTGGTGAGCATAAGAAAGCTGGTGTAACTATATTAATATCAGAAAAAGAGACTTAAGACAAAGAGAACTACTAGAGATAAAGAGGGACATTTCAGAACAATACAAGAGTTAATTCACCAGGAAGATATTATAATCATAAACGTGTATGTGCCTTAAACAACAAGGCCCTACTGTATAGCACAGGGAACTCTATTCAATATCCTGTGACAAACCACAATGGAAAAGAATAGGCAAAACAATATATATATGTATGACTGAGTCACTCTGCTATATAGCAGAAATTAAACATAACATTAAATCAAATATACTTCAATTAAAAAAATAAAAAAACATAAATGTGTATGTGCCTAATAACAGAGCTTTAAAATACCTAAAGTAAAAATTTCATTATTAAAGACAGAAATGGACAAACTGACAATCATAACTGAGACTGTAGAATGCCTTTATCATTAACTGCCTTTATCAGACTAACTAGAAGTAGTAAGATAAGAACAACACTACCAACCAACGTGATCTGATGGACAGTTCTGTAACACTCACACAACATCCACAGGATATATGTTCTTTATGAGTGCACACAGTACAGTCACCAAGATTTATCATGTAATGGTCCATAAAATAAGTCCTAAAAGTTTCCAAGTATTAAAATCTTAGTATTTCCAAGACCTTAATGGAATTAAGTATAAGTGTTAGTCGCTCAGTCATGCCCGACTCATTGCGACCCCATGGACTGCAGCCCATCAGGCTCCTCTGTCCATGAGATTTTCCAGGCAAGGATACTGGAGTGGGTTGCCATTTCCTTCTCCATGGGATCTTCCCAACCCACAGATCAAACCCGGGTCTCCTGCACTGCAGGCAGATTCTTTACCAACTGAGCTACATTCCTTGACAATGGAATTAAAGGAACATTAAAAAACATTTAAAAACTGTAATAATAATAACAATACATGTCAAAACTTGTGGGATGCAGATGGCTTAGCAAGTGATTCATAACTTTGAAAGCTCATGTTAGGAAAGAAGGAAAATGTAAATCATTTACATTTACAAAATGTAAGGTTATAGCTAAGAAGGTAAAAATACATCCACAGTAAGCAGATGGAAAGTAATAAAGCTCAGAGGAAAACTAAATGAAATAGAAAATAAACAGAAAAATTAATAGAACTAAGAATTTCTACTCTTCAACACAATGATAAATCCTTAAGTAGACTGATGAAAGAGAGAGAGAAAATACAGATTATCAGTCAATTGCAGGAATTGTAAAGAGGGGACATCACTAGAAATCCTACATACATTAAAAGGACAGTAAGGGAATATTTTGAACAATAAATTTAATTGTTCATATGAAGTGGACATATATAACTTTATATATATTTATAACATAATTTTATATATTTTAAAATATAAATGGACAAATTCCTTGGAAATTACAACTTCCAAAGCTAAGGTAAGATGAAATAAGAGACCTAAATAGTCCAAAATTTATTGAATTGAACCCATAAGCAAAAACCTTTTCCTAAAAAAACTCCAGGCCCAGATGAGTTTACCGGTAAATTTTATGAAACATGTAAGGAAGACATTTTTTAAATAGAAAAATAATTAATCTTATCACCAATAACTGACTCTCCTGCTTTTGCCTGCCTGATGTCCTTTTCCCTTTTCATGTTCTAATATTAATACCTTAGACATTCCTTTGGGAAACAACTCTCCCCAGCTGCAGTTCACATGCTTTGGGTGACAGTGATTCAACCCTGATTTCAGGGTTGAGCACATGACCCAGATTTGGCCAATCTGAACAATGCATCCTCCTAACCACAGAGACTGGTTCAGGAACAAACTTGTGACCCATATTAGGCCAGTAAGTCAAACTCAGGAAGTATCCTACAGTGTTCACTCGGGTTATCAAGGAAACAAGTGTTGAGAGATGGAAAGAGAGAACAAATGGGTCCTGGTGACATTATTTGGGCCCTTGGATCCAACCATACCTGAAAGATTTAGATAATGAAGTCAATAAATTTTACCACTTCTCCTTTATTTTTTTGAATACTTAAATCAGGCTAGGTGGGTTTCTGTCATTTAACAATTTGTACTGACAAACTACCCAAACGTGATAACAGTAAATTTTTTGGTGTGTTCCTTTCCAATATTTTTGTTTCAATGTATGCTGCTGCTGCTAAATCACTTCAGTCGTGTCAGACTCTGTGAGACCCCATAGACGGCAGCCCACCAGGCTCCCCCGTCCCTGGGATTCTCCAGGCAAGAACACTGGAGTGGGTTGCCATTTCCTTCTCCAATGCATGAAAGTGAAAAGTGAAAGTGAAGTTGCTCAGTCATGTCTGACTCTTAGCGACCCCACAGACTGCAGCCTACCAGGCTCCTCTGTCCATGGGATTTTCCAGGCAAGAGTACTGGAGTGGGGTGCCACTGCCTTCTCCTAATGTTTCAATGTATAAGTCTTCACACACAAAAAAACCAAACAAACAGTTAAGACATATATAGTTTGTATCTGTTTTGCTACATTAAGATTTTATCATATACATTTTATTACAGGCATCCTTTTATTGGCAGCAATCACAGTATAATCATTAAGACTGGGCTATGGAATCCTACCACCCCTGGGTGTGAAGCCAGGCTCCATCTCTCACATACTAGTTATATATCACTAGGCATGTTGCTCAGTTTTTTTAAGCTTCATTTTTCTATAAAACAGGGGCCATAATAGGACCATATCAGGGGGTTGCTGAGAATTATCTGAATTAACAATACATTCAAAGCATGTATTATAGTGCCTGACACATACTGAACACTCAGTAAGTATTAGCTATTACTATTATTGTTCCAACAAATAGAAATACCAAGGTTTGCAAAATCATTTCTTGATTACTGCATCTATAGGTTATTTCCATTTTTTTTATTGTAAATGACACTGCAGTCAGCATATTAATGCATAAAGGTTTTCTCCCTATTTAGAACTATTTTTTAAAGACAGATCCTCTATTGGGATTATTAGGTATAAAAATATGACCACCCTGAGGTTTTTACAAATTTGTTATACTGTTTTCCCAGTTTTCCAAATTTGATTTGGCATTTTATAAGCAGATACATGTTTCATCTTCAAGTGCACATTTTATTCCTTTACTAAAATGGAAATTCTGTGCATTTTGGATTTTTGGATGTCCTTCGAACAGTCCAGAATTCCTCAGAACACTGGGAAGTTGGAGAGAGTCCCCAAGCAGAATGCATACATAGTTGTAGTTCCACATTTCAGGGTTTTGCTTCTGTAAGCACATTCTATCACATGGGCACATATATAAATATAAATGCTCACACATAGCTATAGGACTTCTGTGGGCTTTCACAAATGAAACCCAAAGGCTTCATAAATGTCAGTCATCAGTAGCTGTAATACAGCGAGGCAGACATAAGGAACCAAAAAATCAGAGGAGAGACAGTAAATAATGAGAAAGAGGCCAAGAGCTAAAATCACATTTTCCTGACTACTCGCTGCAACCTTCCTTCTGGAGAACATGATAGGCTGGAAGGAAGGTGGAGGAGGAGGCAGAGAAAATTTTCTAGGAGAGGAAGCTCCACTCTGGAGCCTAGTCATCACACCACCACTCACTGTCCAAGGGTTTGGAGCTAGGTTTTTCAACCTACTATGTTTTGTTTTGTTTAATATTTATTTTGACTGTGCTGGGTCTCCATTGCTGTGCACAGGCTTTCTCTAGTTGCAGAGAGTGGGTGCTACTCTCTAGTGTGGTATGCATGCAGGCTTCTCATTGTGGGGGCTTCCCTAATGGAGCACCGGCTCCAGAGTGCTCAGGCTTCAGTAATTGCAGCTCCTGGGCTCCAGAGAGTAGCCTCAGTAGCTGTGGCCCCAGGCTTAGTTGCTCCGAGGCATGTGGGATCTGCCCAGACCAGGGATCAAACTGGTGTCCCCTAACCAGTGCTCCCTGCATTGCAAGGGAGATTATTGTCCACTGGACCACCAGGGAAGCCTCAACCTACTATGTTTAAGTTTTCCTATTTGTGAAGCAAGAGATTTTACTTGGGATGGGTTATAACACATTTATTGTTTTAAACATCTTATTATGAAAAATATCAAACATATACAGAAGTAGAAAGATTCATACAAGGAATCCCAGGTTTCAACAACTATCAACTCAACTCTTTGGGTAATAGCCCCATTTAGTAGAATCTCAAAAAGTCTTATCTCCTCCAAGTTTAGTTAGAGAAAACAAGCTCCTAAAATTAGGGGACATGTTCTTATCTGAAATAATCTTGGAGCATCATACTTAAAATTTTAAACGTCTCAAGGCACTATGATGGGGTGCTGACTTGCCAGCCCAGGGGTGGGGCTGTGGAGGCTGGGGACAGTGAGCACAACCCTCACTCTAAGAATTTACCTGAACTCCCTCTCTACTGCATGCGCGGATGGAAGGAGCGTCCCGGGGGGTTTCTTCCTCAGAACCAGCTGATGGTTAGCCAGCTTGACGTAGTAGGTGGGATTTGACTGCCCGTGATCAAACTGAAGGAGTTCCAATGGGCCTGTAAGTTTGGAAGCGAGGAAAACTCAAACCAGCTCTGGAGGACAGATGTGGACAGAGATTCTTTCTTTCTAATGAGTACTGCACATGGACAAAGAGCATCCTGATTTGGAATGCACTGTAAGGAAAGCATCTCCTCCCTGGGTACCAGACATGACTGGGTCAAATCTCCAATGTCACATTATAATGTAGCAAAGGCCGCTGAATTTACATCACAACAATTTTCACTTTGTGCAGGTGTCCAGTTTCGTCCTTCCTGCTTATTTCTGCTCCATGAAAAAAGCCTTATAGTTCTGTTTATCAACCACAAGCACAGTCATGGCAATCCATCTTGCCAACTGGAATGCTTTAAGCCAAGGACAAAAGGTGCCCTTGTGTGTCCCTCACGCCATGCTTGGGCACATCACATCTGATACAAGTATGACAGCTGAAAGCAGCTATGCAGAGACCTGCTTTCAGGGGATGCAATTTCCCATTCCATCAAGCTAAACTGTGAGGCTCCCTTGCAGAAACAGTTTATATAGGGACTCTGCACTTCCGCTCCAGTATTCTTGCCTGAAGAATCCCCATGGACAGAGGAGCATGGCGGGCTACAGGCCTTAGGGTCACAGAGTCCGACATGAGTGAGCGACCAAGCACAGCACAGCGCTTCCACTGCAGGAGGTGCCAGAGGGGAAACTAAGATCCCACAGCCAGGAAGCCAAAACAAAACAGCAACAAAAAGAAACAGCCTAATTAACCCTGGTCTTGTCAATGAGATGAACTTGACACATAAGATTCATTTCACTTGATCAGAAGAACAGGCAGTGGGAGTTTGCCTGAGTTGCCTGGTCAGGTCAGAAAGGCTCCCTCAACTTTGTAAATGCTCTACAACAATCCATCAAGGGAAAAAATTTCTCACATGAAGCTGCATACAAAGAGTACTTTCAAGGATCAGACTTTATCACCAGGTAAAAATTTCTTCAAGGTTCATGAAACTATAATAAAAAAAAATTTTTTTTTAAAAAAAGGTATTGAAGCACCTGTTTTTCTGAGGGTGGAATATGAAAAAGAAGAGAGGGACCTTTGAAAGATGAAGACAAATTGTCTCATTTTAAACTCATTCGACTTTTTAAGTCATCTTCACAAAACAGGCTGTCATCTCAAAAATGCCAGAAAGACCCAAACACCCTAGGCACATACTGCAAGTTCTTCCCTGGGACAGCCGTTTGCAGGCAACTGCTGCCACGCCATGGTCTCACGTGGAACAAGAGCCAAGTACACTCTGGAACCCATAGAAAAGGAGGTGAGTGCTTTTTCCCAAGCAAAACAGAGCAGCACCCAGGTCTGCAGGGCCACCTGGCTACTTTCTTTACCACATGGCATCTTTATCTCCAGCATATTCCACTAGAAGAGAAAGGGAGAGCCAGACTGAAAGCCTAGCCTCTACCAAAATGCAGAAACTTAACTACCTGTGGGTTGGGTCCCCAGTAAGTCTTTGAGGTACTTCTCCAAAGCGTCTTTGGGAATTTCCATTGTCTTTCTCACAGGGCGAGTGTTTGGAACAGCCATTCTCAATGGAAATCCCAAAAGAGTTTCCAATTCCTTTACTGCAGTCTCCGGGTCATCAACCTGGTTTCAAAGAGAATATTGAGCAGGGATCCCCAGACAACCCTGACCTCTCCTCCTACCTGTTCTCTAAGAGGGTACATTTTTAGAGGAAAATATAAACAAAAGGCAGTTCTGTAAGCAAGGACTTTGGAGCCAGCATAATCAGCTCATGAAAAAGCCTCAGAATGACTTTCCTCCCCCCATTTAATTCCAAACCACATTAAACTCTCTTATCTGTTGGAGAGAGTGCCAGTTAAAAGTTCATTAATACTCCCTTGTGCCAGGAGGGCAAAATATTGTACTGGAGTATCCATTCTGCCCCTATAGGCCCATCAGCTAATAATGAAAACGTAAATGTAGAAAGCTGAACAGAGACCACCACCCCCTCCCTCAACACACACACACATGGCTTCTCCTGTTTCAAAGCACTGAGGTGGTCCAAGTGGCTGGTAATTGAACAGCATCAACAGGCCAGCAGGACTGTCACCTAAACTGTCATAAGCCTGCCATTCACCTCCCTGTGTAACTCTTTTCTCAAAATGCCTTCTTACTTCCTACTGAAAATACAAGCTGCTAGTCGACTAGACCTCATAATTAAAAAAAAAAAGACTGGCATCAAGGGCAAAAACCACCAGAGGCAACTCCAACTCTGAGTGCAAAGAAATACTTAACACTAGTGTCTGAAGCACAAAGGGGTTCAAAAAACAGTGACCATTACCTTAATGGTGTGAATACCAAGGCTGGCAGCTGCTTTTAGATTTGGTCCAAGATCATCAAGAAAGATGGACTCAGAAGGCTGCCGGCCAAGCCTCTCCAAGCACAGTTTGTATATCCTGGGGTCTGGCTTGCAGACACCTTCCAGGCAGGATTCCACGACCTGAGGGAGGGGCAGGAAGGAGAGATTAACATCCCTAAAAGTGGTGTTCCCATGTTATACCCTAGTATGTTTTTTTGAAAAGAAGACAAGAGGGACAGTGGAGATTTGTCAAAACAAGTAACTTAAGAGTGTCATAATATAAAATGATGTTGCTTTTTTAAGTGGAGTGACTTGGATATACTCATCAGGAAATTGGAAACACTGATAGCCATCTTACCCATCTTAACAGTAGTTGGAAAACTTAGTGAAACTGGAAGGTGTTCCAAAATGACACAGCATTCTGCTCATGTTAGGTATTGTGGCTGCATGGAACAGAAGAAAAGCTGCACATTTCAGCTTTAGGGTAAGTATTTCACCATGTTTTCAGAAAGAAAGGCAGTATTTACTGTTTTAAAAGAAACATGACTTTAATATCCATATTTCAGAAGTGAAAAAACGAAGAGCTATATTCAACCTAGACAGGACTGACACCAAAGATAGTCAGTGGCCAAGATAGGTTTCACGCAAAGAGCCTCCTCCGTCCTGACAGCCTTGCCTCAAACTCTATCTAGTCCAGAACTGGTGAGGGGCATCTGAGGGTTCAGGAGAACCCTGAAAAGCTGTCTCAGTGTCAGGTTACCTCCGATCCAGCAACCCCCTTTAAGTCCTCTGACATTGACCCCAGGGCTTGATCTCCTGTGAATAGGTCTAAAACAGCCATAGAGGCCTGTAACCAATACCCTCTGGTCTGTCCTAAGAATAGAACTAAATCCCTCTCTCACTCCTGAATTGACCCTTGCTCTCCAAGATCAAGGACAAACCTGAGGGCCCCTCCCTCTCCTCCAAATTCCCACTGTTCAAGGTTGGAGGAGAACTGCTCTTTCAGGTAAATAAATGTTGAGTAACTTACTCTTACTTATTCTTCCCAATCTCCTAAGGACCTGAATGAGCTAAAAGAAAACAGAAATTCCTTCTGAAGAAAACATCAACAGTGGGTAGTGGAGAAGCCAGGTGTTTCAGACACCAATGAAGGCATCACGTGACAGGAAAGCAGCACATCTGGACAGCCAAGACAAGAGGTGAGAGGGGAGGAAACCCTGGGATCTGGGCCACATCTGGCAAGCAGACACCTCCTCTCAGAGGTGATTATATCTGGGAAAGGGAAAAAATTTAAAAAGATTTAAATTGGATAACATCCCTGGCCTTTTCCTTGTGTTCTGTTTTACAAGATAAAAAATTTCTGGGGTTCTGTTTTATGAAAATGTGAACACACCTAACATTTTTGTGCTATATAGTAAAAAACAGCTAGAATGGTAAATCTTAGATCACATGTTCTTTGACAATAAAATATAATGTAAAATTTTTTACTTAAACAAATTAGAGAACCAAAATTTAAAAGCCACATTCACCTCAGAAGAAACAGAGTCCTATAATATTATTGAAAAGTTTAGGAACAGCCTCCAAAGATGATGGGGATCATAGGAATGGTTATATTAGCTTTGCGTGCAAGCTAAGTCACTTCAGTCATGTCCAACTCTTTGTGACCCCATGGACTGTAGCCTGCTAGGCTCCTGTGTCCATGGGATTCTCCAGGCAAGAACACTGGAGTAGATTGCTGTGCCCTCCTCCAGGGGACCTGCCTGACCCAGGGATTGAACCCACGTCTCTTATGTCTCCCGCATTGGCAGATGGGTTCTTTACCACTAGCACTATTTGGGAAGCCCAGCTTTACTTCTATCAAAATAAATATTTCTCCTCATAGCTTTAGAGGATAAAAACGTAAACTCTTGCTCTTGAGGAAATATATTTTCAACACTCCAGGTCGCCTATAGACCTAAACTATGAAAATGGATCAGAAAAAGCTGCCTGAAAGCGCCCACCAGAGAGTCTGTGAAGTCTGCATAAATGAGTCCATCGTGTTAAAGAAGCTCACAAATCCTTAAACACTTGAAGGGCCCAGTGTGAGCCTGGACAACTTATTTTGTCCAGATTAAGATAATAATCCCCACTGCCGCACTGGAGGGAAGGAATCTCTGAAAATAATCTGCCAGGCACTCTGTAAAGTGCTTTGTGTGTATTATAGTCTGGGATCCACACAGCCACCCTAAAGAAAGAAAATTGCTGCTCCTGAACCACAGGTGAGGCAACTGCGGTTCAGGGAATCAGAGCTCCTGCCCACAGCAAGCTGAGACAGGATCCAAATAGGGCTGAGGTCCCTGAGCCCCCAAAGGGGAGGATGCGTGGAGAAAGGCTGTGCTGTGGACAAGCCAGGAACGCAGGAGTCAAAGTGGGCAAGGAGCCAGGCAAGGGTACAGGGGGAGAGAACTCTGATCTTGACAGGCTCCGAGGTGAAGAGAGCACTAGGCTGGGTGGTTAACTTCCCATATTTGAACTCTGAGTTTCTGCTCGTCTGTTTCACCAGTTGTGGTTTGTTTTTTTGGTTTTTTTTTTTTGGCCATGCTGCATGGAATGCAGGGTATTAGTTCACTAAACAGGGATCGAACCCGCCCCCTGCAGTGACAGCAGAGCAGGGGACTGCCAGAGAAGTCCTGATTAGATTTTATGTTCTAAGATATCACTATCCAGTAGAAATTTCTACAATGACAGAAATGCTATATTGCCCTGTCTGACACAGTAGCCACTAGCCACATGTGGCAGCTGACCACCTGATAATGTGGTGAATGCATGTTCCTGAGGGCAGGACTTATGTCAGTCGCATTGAATACAGTGGCCCTTCATGCCTAGCCAGCGCCCAGTACACAGCCACTGCTGTGAAAGAATGTGTTTTCTGACTGAAGTTTAAGCTAGTCATCTATCAATAATTTCTATCTGTCCCAGGATAATGATAATATACTTCCTTTGAGGAAAATGGGGAGTCTTTCACAGAAGTAACATCCTGGCACAGAAGACCATCTCCTGACTCACAATCTTCTCAGGTACTTTGATAGTCTAGCCCTTCACACACTGTCCCACATGGTGGCCCCTAGTCATATGTGATGGTATACATTTCAGTTGAAATAGAATTTAGTTGCTCAGTGCCACTCGTCACATCTCAACTGTTTAACAGCCATGTATATGACTAGTAGCAAACATATCAGACATTTCCTTTCCTGCAGTAAGTTTGTTTGCTCAGCAATGGTCTAAGGATTAATGCCAAAGAAATAGAGGGCAATGGGGTTGGTCTTTGAAAAGGTCAAAGGTGAGGGCTGATCAAAGTACAGATGTTATCTGATGCTGTTGTTGTTGTTGTGTGAGTTCAGTTGTGTGCAACTCTTTTCAACCCCATAAGCTCTAGGCTGCCAGGCTCTCTGTCCACGAAATTTTCCAGGAAAGAATACTGGAATGGGTTGCCATTTCCTACTCCAGGAGCTCTTCCCCACCCAGGGATGGAACCTGCAGCCCTTGTGTCTCCTGCACTGGCAGGCAGATTCTTTACTAACTGTGCCACCTGGGAATCCCTGATATCTGATGACTAAGGTTCAAGTCCAGATGAAAGGAAGTCTCTGAAGCTGAGGTTTCACCCAATTATCAAAGACCATAAATAACCTTGCTCACAGCTCAGTGATACTTTGCAAGTCCTCTTTCCCACCTATCATGTCTAATCCTAACTCAGTCAACTGTGTGAATAAACAAACCCACTCAAGACCTGCTAAGAGGCAGCGTTAGTGCTGCATCCTAAAGTAAGGACAGAGACTTGATTCAGATTGTTCTGGATCCCTGTCAGCTTACCACATCAAACTGTTTCCGGTCCAAGGGCAAAAAGCTCTTCCCATTGGGAAGATAAAAATTATTGCTCAAGACTGCAGTCTGAAGCCCTTTAGCCCGAATCTGAGTTATGGCCTCAGTCATCACTGGGAACTGCTTCGCCACTCGGTCACTGGTCAGCAGAGAGAAAAAGGAGTCCACGGGCACGGAGGTCTCTGACTAAGATGGAGGTAGGGAGAGAAGAGAACCAGCCATCATTAAGAGTAAGAACAGCTTATCACCAACACAGAAAAACACAGATTCCAGGCTTCCTGCCACTACCCCAGGCCTCTGGCTTGCTGCCAAAAGGAATTCTCTCTTTCAGCCCTGGTGCAGAACGTTGCATATAAGGTTGTAAAAAGTTGCTTAGAATTAGAATTACAGTGGTTAGGGAATGGAGCAATTTATATCAATATTCAAGTTAAATGAATTCTTTATTTCACTCATTCATTGTCAATTTCAAAAAGATTCTGAAGACTCTCTAAGAGGATACATGAAACCCTAAAAGTGAATTAAGCAGATGTAATTTAATTTTTCACAAAGGCTCCTCTGTCCATAGGATTTTCCAGGCAAGAGTACTGTAATGGGTTGCCATTTCCTTCTCCAAGAGATCTTCCCGACCCAGGGATTGAACCCCAGTCTCCTGCATTGTAGGCAGACGCTTTACCATCTGAGCCACCAGGGAAGAGCACAATTTAATTTTTAATGACCCAGAGATTTGATGATTCTGCATTGTCTCAGCTTCAGCATGACAAATGGAATGTCAGTTTCTGATCAATTTTTGTGATTTTAAATTCCGTCTTTGTGGGTTTTAAAACCTCTTATTTTATCATGTTTCAAAGTTTGCAATGGCAAGCCTGCTATTTTATACACACACACACACTCATTTTACAACAGCTTTATTGAAATACAATTCATATATCACACAAGTGGCCCATTTAAACTGTAAAATTCAGTGCTTCTTAATATATTCACAAAGGTGTAAAACCCTTAAGACAATCAGTTTTAGAACATTTATGTCACCCAAAAAAGAAACATCATACCTATAAGCAGTCACTACCCATTCCTCTGCCTCCCTGCCCCCGATTTCCCAATACTCCCAGTCCTAGACAATAACAACTCTATTTCTACCTCTATAGATTTATCTGTTCTGGGTATTTCATATAAGTGGAATCGTACAATACGTAGTCTTTGGGGCTGGCTTTCTATGACCTAGCAGAATGTTTTATACATATATATATATATATATAAATATAAATATTTATTCATTTACTTAAAATTGTGGTAAGACCACATAACATCATATTCACTGTTTTAACCACTTTGGATAACATTAAGTACATTCATTGTTATCTAACTAAAACCAACATCCATCCACAGAACTTCACTATATTTAAAATTATATTTTAGCAATATTGTGAAGGTATTGGAGTTAATATAAACAAAGAGCTTAGAACAATGCATAGTTCAGAGAAAGGCTCAATGTTAGCACTGCATTAAACAAGCTTTCTGATCAAAACCATTATGCAACAATTCCAGCCTCACATAAACAATAGCTAATGTACATAATATTTTTATTTTTCATTTGTGCAGTTAAAATTGAGTACCTGGGGATGGAACAAATAAAATCTTATAATGGGTTATTAGGTTTTCCCTTCTTCACTTTTAGTTTAACCAATTTAATGGATGAGTGTTGCATCCACTATTCTAGACAGAAAGAATATTGAAATTCAAGTGTGTTTATCACTTACAATTTCAGAGCAAAGTCTCCCAAATTCTTGTAAGAAATCTTCTGTTGTTATCTCTGCTCTCATAAATTTCATCCAGGGCCCATTTTCGCCACCTGAGATCAAGGCCTTCACTATAGTTCCAGAAGGGATATGATTCTGTACCTCCCATTCTACCAAAAGTAAAACACATGGTAAGTGAAATGATATATGGACAAACAGCTGAAGTCTGGGGAGCAGGGTAATTACCATACAGGTGCTGTGGCATCACTGTAGTGCCAGGTGGGTTCTAATGGGAATTCAGAGAAATTCAGGAAATGGAAAATCTCAGCCTTAGACCTCCCAGGGAATAACAGTAATAATTTGTGTGACTGAGGGGACACTGCTGCCAAGCATCAGTCCATGCCACCAGCTTGAGATGATGCTGGACACTACATTATGAATTGTCTTCCCTGGTCTCTTATTAGCTGGTTCATATGTATTAGGTCAGGCTTCCCTGGTAGTTCAGAGGTAAAGAATCCACCTACCAATGCAGGAGATGCATTTCATCCTCAGGTTGGCAAGATTCCCTGGAGAAGGGAATGGCAACCCACTCTAGTATTCTTGCCTGGGAAAATTCCATGGACAGAGGAACCTGGCCAACTACAGTTCATGGGCTCTCAAAAGAGTCGGACACGACTTAGCAACTAACCAACAACAGTCCTGGCACATGGTATGGAAGTACATGAGGGAATAAATCAGATTCTGAGAGCACTCCAAAACAAACCCTTCGTTTTGTAAACTAGTAACCCTTCAGGGCGGTGCAGCTGCGGTGTCTTTGAAAAAGAAAACTGTCCGTAAAGAGCCAAAGCAGTGGATGGATTACTATTATGTACATGGGGAGCGCTGGGATAGCAGATAATTTTTCCTGTACAAGAGGGTTTTCTCTTTCTATAATATACCTGCTTATGGGGCAAAAACATATAGCATCCATAATTATATCTAAGATATAAAATACTTAACACAAAGTTTTTGTTTAATGTAGTAGTGGCCGTGCACAGAAAATATTTCAGACAACACAGAAAAGTATAAAAAAGAAAGCAGAATGACAAAGCAATCCCATTCTTCAGAAGTCACCAACGGGACCAACTCAGTATGTCTTCTGAGAACAGCAGGTCTTTGAGAACTCAATCCAAATAATAATACCTCTTTAATTTTACAACTAAAGTTAGAGGAATTTTTAGGATCTTAATAGTTGGCAAGCATGCAAGGAAACCGGCATGCTCCTAGGCTGCTGATGGGGGTGTAAATGAGCACAACCTCTATGGAGTGCAACATGTTTTTTTTTTTTGAAAGGTAGTACCAGGACCATTTTATTTAGTGTTGTAGGAAATTTTTAGGTTACTTCTCAAAAACAAAAGCAAAGAAATTCAAAATTCCCAAAGTAACAAGGCAGGAGATAAGAATTCTATAATTCAGAAAAGCTGGGTGATGAGCTTTCAATCAGAGGGAGGAAGAGGTCACGTCAGTAGCTCACACAACAGCTACGGAGGAAACCACAGGGTTGAGATTGGTGTAGAAATTGGAGGTTAAGCTCTCCACGCCCCCGAAGGCAACAGATCCTTCAGCCTGGAGGAACCGTTCGTCAGTGAATGGGTCTTAAAGAGAAGGGGCACGGGGGGTGAAAATTGTGCCTAATTTTACATCAAGTTGCCTCTGCCCTTCAATCTGGCAGGTGGCTGAGGGTCATGGACCCTCCCCACTCTGTGCCCTTCTGAACCCCCGCCGTCAGCAGAGCTGGAAACCACACACATGTGCCACTCACTGCCCACACACTCTCCACTCTGGGTCAATGGCTGTTCATGTGGTGAAGGGCAGACTTTCTTGCTCTTCCTTTCTGCTACCTGGGGAGGCTGACCCACAGGAAATAAAAGGGGTGGGCAGGACATATGTCAAAGCCCAACGACAGAGATGATATGAAACAATTGGGCAAAGGATTGACTTTTTTTTTTTCCAGATGCTGACCTCCAGTGGAAGGTCATCACACACTGTTTGGTATTTTATTGGATGCTTCTCTGAAGTACTTACTGGTCTTCTAGGGGCAGGGGGGCAGCCAGGGAGGGCCAAGAAAGAGCTGCTCCTGCTTCTGCAGGGCGTGGCCTCCTCCCAGGACCCATCAGTTCAGTAAGCATTCTCAGCAGCCAGAGGCTAAACCAGACTCTCCTGGTTTACACCTAGACAGCTGGGTGTAAGCCCTCAGACCCACACCGGCTGCAGGAGCTCCAGCCCTCCAGTCCACCTGCCCCTGTGAACAGCTCAGAGCTGGCTCCAGCTTTCCCAACTGAGTTCTCCCTCACAGTAGAATCCTCAAGGACAGGTGTTAACCGGCGTCCTTGAGCGGTGCGGGAATGCTACCCGTGGAATTTTTTTTCCAGCAGTTGGTAGAAACCAGACACTCTTGAAGTTGATTGTCCTTCATTCTCCAGAGTTCTTGAGTGGCATCTCAGAGCAGAGGAATTTGCTCTCTTAAACACGGACCGGGTCCCATCCCCGAGGTCCTAGCAGCAGATCTCCCACAATGAAAAGTTCTCGGGAAGAACTCGGGTCTCCATGTGAGCTCTTCCCGGGAGAAACCACTCAGAGCCCTCGCCACCCAGTGCACGAGGGTTTATCACAGTCCAAGTACACTGATATCAAGTAAAAAAACATTGCATAACAAATATATACACGTGTATCTCCGGAGTTCAAGCGAACATCCAGTTCTCTTTACAGGGATGTAAATAAATCTCGTAACGCTACAAAAATAACAAGTCGTCTGAGAGGTTTACAGTGGTCCCCAGTATGTAGGAGGGTATTAAATAAAACAGCTATCGATAATTAAAAGTGAATTAGTTCAATCAAGTTACAGTATCATCCTTCAGATTAAAGTGCTCTGATATTAACTAATGTGGCAGCAAATGTGATCCTGAGAAGGAATCCCACTGCCGGTCATCTTGCTTCTTAACTTCAATACAACAAGAATGAACACAGAGAGAGTTCCGTTTAATAACTGCTCTCTCCTCAAGCCCTGCCCACGCCCTTGGCCTATGACATTCTCTCCCGAGGAGAGATGTCGGGATTTGATGAGATTCTGTCTCAACTGGAACAAAAGAAAAAAAGAGTAATATAGAAAATATTCTAATATCGGGTTACTAACAATGAAATTACCTGGAGGGTCTGAGTTGTTTAGTCGCTAAGTCATGTCCGACTCTTTGCGACCCCGTGGACTGTAGCTCATCAGCCTCCTCTGTCCATGGGATTCTCTAGGCAAGAACACTGGAGTGGGTTGCCATTTCCTTCTCCATGGAGTGCAACATGTTAAATGCACATTTACAATTGATGTAGCAATTCTGCTTCTAGGAATTTCTCCCAAAGATATATTTATAAGTGTAAGCAAAGATTATGTATACCACTGTTGGGCAGAACTGCTCACAGTGAAAACTAGTAACTTACATGTATAATAATAAATGGCTTGTTAAAGCGACCATGGTACATTCATATAATGAAATGCCACGTAGATGTTAAAATGTATAAACTAGGTCAAAGGTCAGCAAATTATGGCCTGGGGGCCAAATCTGTCTCCCATCTATTTTTGTGGATAAAGTTTTACTGTAACATAACCACAACTACTTGTTGACTATTGCTATGGCTGCTGCTGGCTCCAACAGTAAAGCTGAATAGTACCCCTCACAGAAAAAGTTTGCTAATTCCTGAACTAGACCTATGCCTGCTGTTGTTGTTGGTTAGTCACTAAGTGGTGTCCAACTCTTTGCAACCCAATGGACTGTAGCCTGCCAGGCTCCTCTGTCCGTGGGATTCTCCAGACAAGAATACTGGAGTGGGTTGCCATTTCCTTCTCCAGGGGATCTTCCCACCCCAGAGATCGAACCTGAGTCTCCTGCATTGGTAGGCAGATTCTTTACCACTGAGCTACCTGGGAAGCCCATGGCTATTGATGTAGAAAACCTGGAAAGATATTTTACTAGGTCAGAAAAAACAAAGGTACATCTAACAGTTTGTATGAAAAGTGAGAGTGTTAGTTGCTCAGTTTTGTCCAACTCTATGATCCCATGGACTGTAGCTCACCAAGCTCCTCTGTCCATGGAATTCTCCAGGCAATAATATTGAAGTGGGAACCATTCCCTTCTCCAGGGGATCTTCCCAACCCAGAGACTGAACCCAAGTCTCCTGCATTGCAGGAGGATTCTTTACTATCTGAGTCACCAGGTAAGCCCAAACAGTTTGTATACCATGACCCAGTGGTATACAGCATAGACACAGTACACACACACACACACACACACACACACACATTCCTGTGTATATATTGGGAATTTTTCGAAGGATAAACAAATTTTTCACAATGATAACCAATGAAGGCTAGAACTGCGGGGAGCAGGTGGTGGTGACAATTAAGAAATTGGCCTTTGGAGAAGGAAACGGCAGCCCACCCCAGTATTCTTGCCTGGAAAAGTCCATGGACAGAGGAGCCTGGCGGGCTGCAGTCCATGGGGTTACATAACTGAGCATGTGTGCACGAGGGTGGAGGGAGATGGGTTGGTAGCAATAAAGTGGTAGAACTAAAAAAAAAAAAAGAAATTGGGCTTTGTATTTTTTTTAATCCAAAGTATTAAATATACTTTTAAAAATAAATAAATAAATAAATATACTTTTAGCACAAACTATTTATAAATATGGTTGGCATAAGTGAGTTTCTGAATAGAAAAAAATTAATTAAAATTAAATCTCTATTTCTCACAATTACAAAAATGAATTCTCTAAAGACTAAATACCCAAATCAGGAAAGGAAAAAAAAAAAATCCTCAAAAAGTTAGAAAACAAAATACAACATCTTTATGAATGTCAAGGAAAGAAAGACTTCCTTAGCCTAGACACTTTACACTCAAGCCATAAAGAAAAACACAGATGATTTTGATGAGAAGAAAAATGAAAATCCTGGTATTACAAAAACATTATAAGATAAAAACACAAGTCAATAACAACCACAAGCCTTACTAAGTGCTCAAAAGATTTCAGGCACTGCTGAATAACATACCATTTAAAAGTATGAGCAAGATTTGAAAAGGCAGAGGAGGCAAGGAAGGGTAGCTTCAAGCAGAGGGAACAGAACCTACAAAGGCAAAGGAGTATAAACACATTTGGCAATTTTAAAGAGCATCAAGTAGTTGAAGGTAGCTGAAATGTGGGCAAATGTTGTGAAAAAAGGACAAGAGAGCTGTTTGTGAGAGGCCCTGGAACCAGGTAAAGCTTCTGGTCTTAAAGGGAAAAACATTGCAGGCACTCAAGGATTTGAAACAGGAGAGGGAAGGGAGAAGATGTGATGTATGTTTTAGAAGGGCAGTTCTAGGGGCTGTGTGGAGGGGGTGTAAAACCCAGAGGCCAGAGGTTGAGTTAGCAGTTAGGAGGCTACTGTGATCAAGCAGGTGGGAGAATTTAGGAATATAACATGTGTAGAGGCAGTAGCAGTGGAAAGAAGAAAATAGCTTCTCAAGGTATTCTGGAAAGAGTTGAGAAAATTCCTGCCAAGTGATCTTTATGTTTGCTGTAAAAGCAGAGATTCAGCTATCTGCCAAGGTTTGGTCTGGAGAAGTATGATGGCTCCAAGGGGAGTTTGGAACAGCCCTGTAGTAAATTCAAAAGGAATATCAGTGGAGGAAGAGAGAGCCTAAGGGCTCACTTGCAGCTGAGCTAAAAAACAAAACAAAAAATAGCTCAACCAGTTAGCAGAGCTCAGTAATTTTTCAACAAGGGGCACAGAAAACCTGACCTTGGGTTGATTTAGCATATAAAACTGCCCAATCAGCAACCACAGTCTGTCAAAAGAACAGAGACCTCTGTTTGGTCCTTCCTGTTGACCAGAATGTGCATGTGATGGCAGAAAGTGAAGCAGCCAAACCTGATCCACGAGAGTGGAAATGGGGTGTGCTCACAGCAGAGCAACACAAGGAAAACCACCCAGGGCCCTGATAGCCAGAGCAACACACTAGCCCAAGCCACACACCGGGATTTTCACGTAAAAACACGTTTGACTTCAATCTTGTTTCAGTCAGTGTTTTGTTAGGTTTCCCAACACTTCAAGCCAAACAAATCAAACTTAAGTCAGTTCAACTGAATGCATAAAAAGGTAATACCAGAAGGGGCTGAAAAAAGAAGGATCAGAGCCTAGAGGTTTGTCTTGGAACAAAAGCAGGTGTAGAGGGAGGTTGATGGAAGAGGAAAGGTTGTGATCACAGTGGGGAGGGGGGAAGATTTCAGCATTCACAAGTAGTTCTCCAGGAAAGGTAGTTAAATTCTACCTATAACATTGACAATAACAATGGCAGCTTGTCATTTATTGAGAATTTCAGATGAGCCAAGCACTCATTCTGCTAATCAAGTGCTTTCTATGAATGATCTCACTTAACCATCTCCTAGCACCAAAAATGTACAGATCATTAGCCCTAATTTAATGATGAGGAAACTAAGACTCAGAGAAGTGAAATCACTTACCCAAGATCCTCAGCAGCACTAACTGTTGCTTGAAATTTGATTCAAGAGCAAGAATAGCACCCACTGAGACACACTGTCATCTCCCCTCAACACCCTCCTTTCCCCCACCCCCACGCACACCAGTCTCCAAAGGTGAAGGAGAATGAAGAGCTCACCTGTGGCCACGCTCCCTGGAGAAGGAAGCAGAACTCCGCCCATGTCAAAAATCACTGCTCTGTAGGGGCCACCTCCAGAATGCGTCCATCTCCGGGCTCCCGGGTGCCTGCCCTGGACATGTTTCAGGAAGGCCGCCCTCCAAGCCCGCTGGAGCTGGGAGGACTGCAGAAGCTGCCTTAGGCACATGTTGGGGCCAAGGCTGTGAAGCAGAAACAGGACATGGTTAGCCGTCACTGCCTCCAACTAGACCTCCGTCCTGGCACTCAGGGCGCCACCAGCATGTCTACTCTGGCTCCCAACCAGCATTTCAGACACAACCAGAGCTGAACTCAGTGTCTCTGCCCTCCATGACAACTCCTTTCCTAAGGTCCTTGGCTCAGGAAAGCGCTCCCCTATCCCCCCAGCTACCCAAGCTAGAAAACTGGATTCACCCCTCAGTCTTCCAGCCAGACACCTCCATTCTGGAGCTCGGTGTGACCGGTCATTCCTCCCAAAGCTCTCCATCTACTCTCTCCACTCCCACTGCATGATCTCACCCACAGACCTTTGCAGCAGCCTCCTAAGTGGGTCCCCTTGCCTCGTCAGTCAAAACTGCAAATTTGATCATGTCTTACCCCCATTTAAAATCTCCAGTGGAAAAAAAAAAAATAAAATCCAGTGACTCCCCATCGTCCTCACAATAAACTCTCAGCTCCTTAAGCTGCTTGAAAAGGCCCTCTGAGAACTTCTCCCCTCTGGGCAGCAGCTCTCCCTTGTACTTCACCTTAGCCTGGGTGACCTCGACACTCATGTCCACAGCAGCTTCATTGAATACACGATGTGCTCCTCCCGTGGCCAGGCCTTAGCATATGCTGTTTCCCTGGATAACTGCCTGTTGTCCCTCAGGTTGTAGTTTGCCTGTCACTTCCTTCATGAAACCTCTTCCAGCCACCAGAAGAGGCAGATGAGCAGTCTCTGCTGTACGGATAAGGGTGCCCTGTACTCACCTCCTCCTAGCACTCACGATGCCACCGCACTATCATCCCTGCTACAGAGCAGCGCGATGACCTCCTGATCGTCACCGCCTCTTTTCTAAACTTACCTTCAACAAGTTCAGGGGAAACAAAAACATACACACAACAGGTACATGTATACATAGATACACAAACATTTCCACATGAATAGACATAAATGAGCCAAATGTTAATAATCAGTGAAAGGCACATTATGAAAGGTGTATGAGAGATCCTTGTACTCTTCTTTCCATGTTTTTTAGGTCTGAAATAAAAACTGGGAAAAAGGACAAAAACAACAACAAACTCTATTTGCAGTCAGTTCCACTTGAAAATCTTGAAGTTTCTCATGTGATGTCTATGGTTAAAAGCTAAGAAGCAAGTTAGAGCAAAACAGGTTGGTAAGACAGCCTGCACGTTCATGGGAGTCACCTCAGTGCCACCATAAGGACTAAGTAAAGTATGTAGGAATCTAAAGAAAGAATGCTTAGGAAGTAAATGCTCAAGATGATACAATGTGTTTCTTATGTAATTGGAAATTTGTAATTGGAAAGCTGAAATGAAAAATGTAGAGATTGATTTGCATTTTGGGTTTTACTTATGTTCCTATGCCAAGGCCAAAGTTAATGATGGCAGGAGAAATTTATTTATAGGCTCCAGTGTCAACACGTTCTGTGTGAGGGCTTAACAGAGATGAAAAGGGTGTCTGGACCTGAAAGGTTGACTTTCATTCTCATTGAGGACACTGTCCTCCTCATGAAAGTGAAAGTTTTCAGTCCTGTCCGACACTTTGCAACCTCATGGACTATACAGTCCACGGAATTCTCCAGGCCAGAATACTGAAGTGGGTAGCCGTTTCTCCTCCTCCTCATGACTCCTGCTAATGGATAAGTAGGCAACTCTCCTATGACTGGCTTCCTTCTTCCTTCCAACTAAAGATGATGCTTCTGTTCTAGCCACGTACTGATTGTGGCTCATTTCATCATCACAGCTGTACAAAGATACTAAGTCAAGTTTACACAAAATTTAACTCAAGGTCACGAAACTGGTGATCAGGGTCTATTCCATAATCACCAACGTATCTCTACCGCCGAAAAAGAGCCTGGGCTCTCAGTAAACATTTGTTAAGAGATTAGTCCCGGAGGGGGACCCAGATCGATCTCCAGTTCAGGGCACTTAACCAGCCCACCGTCCTACCTTAACAGAATCAGAAACACTGCAACTAGTGCCAACTCCCCAGGCGAATTCAGCCCTCTGAGCCTCAGCGCACCTATCTGTAAAGCGTGGCTGACACAAAGCAACTCTGCCTACAGCTGGAGCGAGATCAAACACGACAAAAAGAGATCGGAGCTCGGGTCTCTGCAGGGCGCGGGTTCCTCAGACAATCGGAGACCTCGCGGAATCAGAGACTCCGCCGTCAGATGACGTGGGCTGAGGGAACGTCCCCTCAGGCCTGGGAGCAAAACCCACCGATCTTCCTAAATAGGGTCCAAGTGCCCGCGAACCCTGTGACGTGCCTCCTCCAAGTCCTCTTGGAATCCTGACCGGTGAGCGCTGGTTCACCTCCGAGCAAACACGGCAGTCACATGGGCGCACCCAATCAGCTAGCCCGCTGATCCGCGCTTGCGTAACCCCAAGGGTCCGCGACGGCGGCCGGCAGGCGGCAGTGAAGGTTTTAGCTGTAAGCGGGTGGCGCTGAGGTGGTGGCGGGGCGGCGGCGGCGCTACCCGCCCCGGGGCGCTCAGCCTCAAGGCTCCCCTCCCAGCCTCGCCTGAGCCCTCCGGGGCCTGCGCCGGCCAGCGCCTGCCCTATGAGCGGTTGTCATCCACTCGGAGCTCCCAGAACACTCACGGGCCCCCGCCTACTTCAGCTTCAGCCGTGAGTCCGCGGCCTCTCCGCCTCCCCCGTAGCCCGCGCCTGGGCCCCCGGGCTCGTCCTCTCGGAGTCAGTCCGGGCAGGGGCCTCGGCGAGGGCTTTCGCCTCAGGAGGAAGCCGAGAAGTGGTTGGGATCCCTCTCATTTCCCCCATTCTTAGGAGGTCTTCCCAGGTGTCACCCCTGGGGAGTCTTCCTCTGTTCCTCCTTCCTGGTGCCTTCCCATTGGGGCTCTTTATATTTGGCGCCGTTGCTCTCTCCAACCTCGGTGAGAGCCTCGTTGTGCGAGTTGATTTCCTCTAGGCTTTGTGAAAACACAGGGAATACCCAGCACTCTGACGGCTCTTGGGAAGGTTTAATTAAATCCTTCCTCTTTGGAAAACTTTCCATTAAGGGGCCCTGTAGCAGTAGTTACAACTAAAATGTCTACACGTTCTGTATCTGAGCACTGTACTAAATATTTTCTGGGCACTGTTTCCTCTAATTGTCTTCATTCAACCCTACTAGTAGATGGGTGTGTGAGCCTTTTACAAACCGGGAAACTGAAGCCCTGGGATTAAGCGCCTTGCCCAGGATCATCTGCCAGATGGAATTCTACCTCAGAGAGCTGGACTTGAGAGTCTGAGCTCTTCATTCCCAGTCACACAGCCTCCTCAGGGGGAATGCAGGTATGGCTCTGTTCTTTGAACCTCCATCAGTTTATCTAACAACAACATTCATTCAAAAAATGTAATCCAACGTGTCTGACTTCTTTCACTTTCAGTTCATTTCAGTCCCTCAGTCGTGCCGACTCTTTTCGACCCCATGGACTGTAGGCTTCCCTGTCCATCACCAACTCCCTCGGAGCCTACTCAAACTCATGTCCTTTGAGTCGTTGATGCCATCCAACCATCTCAGACTCTGTCACCCCCTTCTCCTCCTGCCTTCAGTCTTTCCCAGCATCAGGGTCTTTCCCAATGAGTCAGCTCTTCGCATCAGGTGGTCAAAGTATTGGAGTTTCAGCTTCAACATCAGTCCTTCCAATGAATATTCAGGACTGATTTCTTTTAGGATGGACTGGTTGGATCAAATTGCAGTCCAAAGGACTCCCAAGAGTCTTCTCCAACACCACAGTTCAAAAGCATCAATTCTTCAGTGCTCAGTTTTCTTTATAGTCCAACTCTCACATCCATACATGACTACTGGAAAAACCAGAGCCTTAACTAGATGGACCTTTGTTGGCAAAGTAATGTCTCTGTTTTTTAATACGCTGTCAAGGTTGGTTATAACCTTCCTTCCAAGGAGTGAGCATCTTTTAATTTCATGGCTGCAGTCACCATCTACAGTGATTTTGGAGCCCAAAAAATTAGTCTGCCACCGTTTCACCATCTATTTGCTATAAAGTGATGGGACCAGATGCCATGATCTTACTTTTCTGAATGTTGAGCTTTAAGCCAACTTTTTCACTCTCCTCTTTCACTTTCATCAAGAGGCTCTTTAGTTCTTCTTCACTTTCTGCCATAAGGGTGGTGTCATCTGCATATCTGAGGTTATTGATATTTCTCCCGGCAGTCTTGATTCCAGCTTGTGCTTCATCTAGCCTGGCATTTCGCATGATGTAGTCTTCCACTTTGGCATGTTTTAAAGACTCAACTGAGTAGCTCTGTGTTTTCAGAGCTCTTTTTCTTTGTGACTGGTGTTCCACTGTGTGGATGAACATCATTTATTATTCATTGATTTATTGGTGGAAATTTGGGTTTCCAATTTTGGTTGTTATGAATAAAACTATTATCAGCATTTGTGTAAAAGTAAAAAAGAAAAATACTTTTTGAGAGCCCACTCTCTGTTGGAGTTTTAGTTGTGTGTGGATAGGGATGCCTTGCTTTAATGGTACCAGCAGTTCACTCAAAGTTCATGGAGACAAATGAAGTAAATAATTACAGAATAAATGTAGAACTGCAGCTGTGACAAATGTGATGAACGATGGGAAGATAGAATTTAGACAGCTGTTACGAGAGGATGTGTTTGAATGGGGAGGGGGCCTGGGCCTGAAAGGTTGTTGCTGAACGATTAGATGCGGGATTCTTGGCCTCCGGAGGAGACGAATTCAATCCGGGGCCAGAGACGAGGCTGGATCGCTCAGAGCTTTTGTGTAATAAAGTTTTATTAAAGTATAAAGGAGATAGAGAAAGCTTCTGACATAGGCATCAGAAGGGGGCAAAAGAGTACCCCCTTGCTAGTATTAGCAATGGAGTTATATACTCACCAATGAATCTAAAGAATGTCTGGAGGCTGCAAAGACCTCACCAGACCCACTCCCATAATTTACATTTTAAGATAAC